TTTAACACAAAAAAAGAATTCAAAATGTCCTTTTACTTTAATCTTTTGAACTCTTACATTTCCCAATTTGTACTAACAATAAGAAAAGGAAATAATCATATCTTGTTCTTGTAGAAATGAAATCATTGTAATTTTATGTAAGAGACATAATAAATTGACTTAGTAGACTGATCTTTTATAGTGGCAACATAACCTTGACAAGTTTTTGGCATATTATTTACTGCTGCACTCCTTCCTCAGTATCTCTACACTGAAACAACAGTACTGAAAACTTCCGTCACTGAAAACGTCTTGCTTAAGTACAAGATGGGATGTTCGGTGTTGTTCTCATCCATTTGTGTTAATACTACTCCCATCCCTAAATCGGAAGCATCTGTTTGCACCATAAGCTCTCTATTAAAATCTGGTGCGTGTAGCACTGGTTCCTTCGTTAATTTTTCCTTGAACTGAATAAATGCGTCTTTGCATTCCTTTGTCCAAAGAATTTCCCCCTTCTTTGCTTTCCCCTTTAATGCAATCGTGAGTGGAGAAGCTATACCAAAAACATGGGAATATACCTGCTAACTGATAACTGAATATGTTTTCGAATTGATTAATAAATTAAAACGGTGTCAGAAGATCACAGTGCAAAGAATGAAAGAACTGCAAATTAAATATAAACTATGGAATGACAAAAACGCTGTGAAGCATGAATTTAAAAAAGGGGATTTAGTGTTGGTTTTCGCTACATCGAAACCGAATAAGCTGGCAGTCCAATGGTTGGGGCCGGGAGTTATCGAAAACAAAATATCGGATACAAATTACATTGTAAAAATGTCTGGAAAGAAGTCTCATATTTATCATGTAAATATGTTAAAACCCTATTATAAAAGACCTGAGGAAATCAATGCCTTATCATCTGAAAGTAAGAATGAAGAAGGTGTGGATCAAGAGGTAGATTTTCTGTATCTAGATCCAAATCCTAACATTTACGATTTCGAAGACATCATCCAATCTAGCAGCTTAGAAGATCAGTTGGAACCTTGCCATGTAGATCAATTACGAGATTTACTAAAGAGATTTTCTCTAAGAATTTCTCCAAAGAGCCGGGAATAACAGAATTAGTAGTGCATGACATTGAATTAATAAGCGACAAACCAGTTAGATCTAGAACCTATAAAGCATACCTAAGGCAAACAGAAATTTTGAAAACAGAGATTCAGAGGATGCTAGATTTGCACATAATCGAGGTAAGGGAATCGGACTACACTTCGCCCATAATTCTAGTGGAGGGGCCTAGGAAAGACCTGAGACCGTGTATAGATTACCGGCGCCTAAATGAAGTAATACACACCGAGTTCTTCCCCCTGCCAAATATAGAGGAAAGAGTGGAGCTTGTTTCACCTGCCAGGTATATAACAATTCTAGATTTGGCAAAGGGATACTGGCAAATTCCTCTAGGTCCAAGGGCTCAAAGATTGGTCGCTTTTGTCATGACATTTGGGATATATAAACCACTGCGTATGCCATTAGGGTTGAAAAACGCTCCCTACTTTTTCAGTAAGTTGATGGCTGAGCTATTAAAAGGGTGTGATGGCTTTGCTGTCCTGTATTTGGACGATGTTGCTATTTTTCCAATACTTGGGAAGATCATTTGATGCATTTAAATTGTGTTTTGGGAAAAATAACTGTGGCAAAGTTGACCATTAAGCCATCAAAATGTCGTTCAAAACCATGTAACGTATCTGGAGAGCAATGTAGGACAGGGAATCAGATGACCGGCTGAGGTAAAGGTTAAAGCAGTAGCTGATTATCCCACTCCGAAAACAAAAACTCAAATAAGGGCGTTTTTAGTTTTGGCAGGTTATTTGGCAAGGTTCCAACTGATCATTTAAGCTGCTAGATTGGATGATGTCTTCGAAATCGTAAATGTTAGGATTTGGATCTAGATACAGAAAATCTACCTCTTGATCCACACCTTCTTCATTCTTACTTTCAGATGATAAGGCATTGATTTCCTCAGATTTTATAATAGGATTTAACATATTTACATGATAAATAAGAGACTTCTTTCTAGATATTTTAACAATGTAATTTGTATCTGATATTTTGTTTTCGATAACTCCCGGCCCCAACCACTGGTCTGCCAGCTTACTCGGTTTCGATGTAGCGAAAACCAATACTAAATCCCCTTTTTTGAATTCACGCTTTCACAGCGTTTTTGTCATACCATAGTTTACGTTTAATTTGCAGTTCTATTCTTTGCACTGTGATCTCCTGACACCATTTTAATTTATTTATCAATTCGAAAACATATTCAGTTACTGGATTTTCTTCATTCTGCTTCTCTGTCCAATGCTCAAATAATAAGGTTTCGGGTGTTCCTTAAATTCCTACCATGCACTAATTCGGCAGGTGAAAACGCAGTGCTTTCATGGGTTATAGTTCTTAAGGCAAACAAATGCTGAGGGAAGGTGTTTTTCCCAATCCGTTCCAGCCTCCAGACATAGAGCTCGTAAGAGCCGTTTGATTTTTTGGAAATGTTCGATCGGAAACATTCGAATTGGGGGTGGCTTAACCGAACTATGACTAACCTTAATCCCAAACCTGTCGAAAAATTCCGTAGTAAGTGCACTTGCGAAAGACGTTCCGAGATCACATTCGAATTTCTTTCGGAAAACCCATATGACTAAAAATATTAATCAGGGCATCCGTCACAGAAACTTGAACTCGCATCACTCACTGGAATAGCCTCAGGGTATTTAGACGACAAGGATATGGCTGTTATTAGGTAACATTTTCTCGTTGAACTGACCGGCAAGGGGCCTATACTGCATCAATGTTTAATTTAGAAAAAATTTCTTGAATGACAGTTAATAGTTTCAGAGAGGGCTTTTTTAATTTCATTTGGTCTCCCGGCTTCGTTGACATTTGTCACAGGAACGAACGTAATCTTCAATTTCCTTATAACAACCAGGCCAAAAAAAAATAAAAAAAAAATAAATACCGTAAAAGCCTATTCCTTCGATTTTGTAACCCCCAAAATGAGCCAAAGTTCCTTCGTGGCACAAATGCTTGGATTTTCTTCCGAAATTCTATCAGCACTACCAGCATTTTTTTCTCATTTCCATAATGATCTCTTTGAACTCGAAGCAAAAGATCGTTCTCAATACTGTAGGTATGTTTCGATGATTGATTTCCATTTCTTGAGTTAATAGAGTCGTAAATCACTTTTAACGTTTCACACCTTTTCTGGGAGTCACTAAATGTTCTTCGGTCAGTCTTTATTAGAGCAATTTATCCCACCACTGCCACCAGTTGTACCATAGTCGTATCTCCGTCAAAGAAACAAGACCTGTTCTAGGCTAAATATTTATCTTTATATACAACTATGTACAGATTACAATTAAGAAAAATTTTAAAATACATTTTCACTACAGTAGAGCGTGCAAACCACCGTCCGCTCTCTTTTCTCTTTCACATCTCAATCTCTTCTTACTCCCACCTGCGACCAGGGGGGAAGTTCACTCCCCTCTTCCGGCCGAGGCAAGCAGAGGGTTCTCTGTCCCTTCTTTTAAGGCAGGTAACCAAGTGGTCTTCAGAGAACGGAAACATTACAGCAGCATAGAAAGGCCATTTTTTTTTTTTTTTCAATCCTGTACATAATTATTCATTATTACTTGCCATTATCAAGTGTGTCAATGTGTGGTGAGATCATCTGATAATATTTAATGTTATTAATGTGACTGAAGTCATACATTTAATGTCATTGTCATTACATAACAGGCCTGTCTATTATAATTTGTTTTAAATGTCTTGTGTTGACTGCCCCTCTTTTTTTGTTTGCTTGTTTGTTTGTTTTTGTATGCAGTAGTGTCATTCCACTGTGCCCATAATGCATTATAAAAGGTTGGTGGTTAAATTCAAAATTGTATAAAATGCTTGGTCCATTTGAATTTGAATTCTTTAAAATCATTATCCTATTTTTGCAATCAGATCAATAAAATCTGGGATATCCTATCATAAATTCTTAAATTATAGTTACTTATGATATTTTATATGTTTACTGTTTTGTATACAGTACAAAGTTTTTAATCCGGACATCCATAATCCGGAATGATCTATAATCTGGACCTCAAAGCTACAAACTTTTTGCCCATGCTTAGCGTTTACACATGCGCATATGCATTTACGCATGCATATAATACCTTTATGCATGCGCATATGCTTTTATGCATACACATAATACATTTACAAATGTGCGTTTAATGTATAATGGATGGTATAAGCTAGGCTAAAATTATCTAATTATCTATTTCAGTTAATGATGCAGATTGTAATGTTCCTTAATATTCTAGTTGGATCCTGCTTATTATTTTTTGCAGACTGTTAGAGCAATCTTATAAAAAGTAAGCTTGAACTTTCGATTATGTCAAAAAGAGTTTTCGATTCTGGAGCTGCCAAAGGATCTACAAAACGAAAGCATGTTTCGATGTCCATCAAACAAAAAAGTGGAATTGCTGCAAAAAATGGATAAAGGCATGAAAAAGTGACAGAGAGGTTAGTGAAAACAAAAAAAAATTCAATAGACAAGTTAGTCGGTATTCTCGACACAGCAATTACAGGACTTGAACAGCGGAACTTTGTAACTGAACAAGAAATTATGTCTGTTTAGAGAATTAAAGAGGAAGTATTAGCACATAAAACGAAACAACTTAAACAACTTGCACTAAAAGAAATGTTTAATAAAGTAAACAAATAAATATTAAGCCTTTTTTTCTAAATTTTGATACCTTTTAGATCATAATTGCTCTTTATTTCATAAATTACGGATTCATATTTTTAATTTCTGCATACCATCTTACCAGATTTAAATGGATAATCTATAATCTGGAAAAAACCCTTATTTGGAATCGCCGAAGTCCCGACGCGTCCGGATTAAAGACTTTGTACTGTATTTAGATGATCTAGCTTTATTTCCTCCCTTTTAAAAATACTCAGTTTTTATGCTTATTTTTCAGGGTCAAAGTTTTATATCTCATCATGTATCAAAATTTGACAGTTTGGAATCATCAATTCAAAAATCATCCTGGCCAAAAGATCTAAAGTATGCACTGACTGTTTATTCAGTTTCAAACCAAGAAGAACATTTTCTGATACATCACTATTTTTGCCAACAAGAGCTTATTGACAACCAACATAAATTACAAAAAATACAACTAAAAATCTCTAATCTTAGTTCGTTTCTTCCTGTAAATTTTAGCAAGACATCTTGGCCAGTGGGAATAGAGCCTCCTTTCAAACCCCATGGTCGTTTTGATGTTTTACCTTGGGTATATTTTAATACAACGCACAATTTCTTTCCAAATGAGTTGCAAGTTGTGTCTGAACTTAAAGGCTTAAATAAGTTAGAAATCCAGGATTTGCTTAAATGTACTGTGCATTGGGTAAAAGCAAAATATAATGATAAATACATCTACCAGAAGTTGGTAAATGGTTATAAGCGATTTGATCCTACAAGAGGCACAGAGTACATCCTTGATATGTTTTTCTTAGAAGATGCAACTGGGCAAGAGATGTTAAAAAGAATTGCCGCTGTTAGGCCTCTGAATGAAGTGGAAATTATTCCAGTGCCTTTTGTTACTGAACACACCAGAGTTGTTCTTTTAGTACCTGTCAAAGCTAGTGAGCGGAATGAAGCACTTAGATTTCTAGAAGATTATGCCAAAGCCTGTATAGAAAAGCAAGATAGCACAGTAATGTTATTAGTGTTTCTGTATGGTCCTCAAGATCCTGGTAAAGGTGAAAAGGAAGATGTATTTGGGCCTGTAAAAGATTTAGTCAACACATATGTAAATAAGTACCGTTCCAACGGTGCTAAAATTGCATGGTTTAGTGTCAAAACTATCGGGAAAATGCCACCTTATTTTGCAATAATTGATTTAGTATCAAGAAAATTGTCAGCGGAATCATTATTACTGTTATGCCATGTTGGCATGGAGATACGTCCAGAATATATAAACAGAGTGCGAATGAACACAATTCTTAAAACACAAGTATTTTTTCCCGTTCCTTTCCGTCAGTACCATCCAGCTTTAGCCTATAAACATATTACCCTTCCAGATAATGTTGAAGTGAAGAAAGATTTGGGTCATTTTGATGTCCAAAGTTTTGAACATGCAAGTTTCTATCTTGCTGATTATTTAGCCATAAGAAAGGAAATGGAGAGTAAAATTTCACTGATTAAACTGGATAAAGATCTCAGAAATGAATATCTTTATAGCTTGCATTTTGACTTATTTGAAATGTTCCTGCAATCAAAACTTCATGTTATGCGAGCAGTCGAACCTGATTTAAGGATAAGGTTTAAATTTGATATGTGTGATTTAGAATCAAATGTTTTAACATATCAAGAATGCTTACATAATAGAGAACAAAATTTGGGAACGAAGTCACAAATGGCTGCAGCAATCCTGTCCCATGCAGAACTTGATACTAAAGATGGTTTCCAGTTTAATGGTATTTTATAGGAATGTTTCTATCAAAATATTATGCTTCCTTTCTTTTTAAAAATTTTACATGTCTGATTCTTGCCAAAAGAATAATTTTATGTTCTTTCTGCAGAACTGTGCCAAAAATATCCAGGTTTTATCTTATTAGTCTTATTCACTATTTATGTTGTGCCACTTTTAAAAAACAATGTTTGTTCCTTCATTATGGAATATTCACTCAAAGTATTTTTGATTTTCTTTCTGTTTTTTAATTATATGATACAAATTTCATCTCTGTTGAAACTGTTTGAAGTTTGTTGTTATTTAAACTTGGGATGCAAACTTCTTGATGATGTAAATTTTAATTTAAAGGGCAGTCAGTAAAAAAAAAAAAAAAAAAAAAAAAAAGGCATTTTTCACTGCAAAAAATAGTTCACAGATTTTTAAAAAATATATATTTTTATTAGTTTAAATCATAGAAATATAAAAGGTTATAATGATTCATAAATTTTATTACTTAAAAACATGTTTTCACTTGAAATTTGCCCTCTAATTTATTTTTTGGTGTTTGCTATTATCCTACTATTTTCTTCTTATTTAATTCATAATGAAATTATTATTTTTTAAATGTTATTATTTATGTGAAGCAATTTTTATACATAAAAATTCTCCTTTTTGAAATAAAATAGTTTTGAGGTCTCTTTCAGTATGATAAGAAAGAAATAAAATTTGCATCTATAATTTTTGACATGAAATATTTTTGAATGTAAAAATTTAGAAAATTTAATATTTAATCATTCCAAGAAAATTGTAATTTGATGCATGTGTATGTAGTATGGTATGTTATTTTTTTTTTCAAATGTTGGTTATTTGAAATATTCTTTAAAAATTAATTCTACTTAAGTTCTTGCATTCTTGTTTAGTTTACTGATTTTAACATTTTAATTGTTAGTAAGTAATATGTGTCACTCCTCTGTTCTTCTTAGTTATACTGAAGAATTACTCTGCTAAATTTCGTCATTATTTTATTTATTGATTTCTTTAAATTAATTGTGATAATTTGTCTGCCTCTTCTTGAAAATGTTCCAACACAGTAAAGAAAGTGTTAGAACTGCCTAAAAACTATTAATTATAAGTTTGGCATTCCTTGTTTAAATCATGTTCATTATTTTTGTATAATTATGTTATTAGATCTGATCATCACACTTGATTCTCATGTATATTACTAATTGTTTTATTATTCAAATGCATTGTTAATAGAAATGTGTATGTGAATCATTTTTAATAGTTATCTTTTTACACTAAATACTGTGCATATGAAAAATAAGTTTTCAATATAAAATTTTCATATTTTACTTTTATTAACACATCTGTATATAAAATTATTCTAAGCATAACTATTTATAGTGTACCTTAATTTTTCATTATTACCAATTAATAACATTATTCTTAATAATCCGCACTTCAGAATTTTACTTAAATTTGGTTTAATTTGTAAAATGATGAAAACTTCTTGCCAATTTTAAAAACTCAAATTTTAAGTTGTATATTTATTTGTAGTATTAAAAATATATTATACATTATTTATAAGTAATACCTGAGAGGAAGCATATAAAAGAGGTGTATTTAACTAAAAATTAAGCAAATATAAAATTATTTACTGTGATATTTAAAATTTATTTTCATAATTGTTTTTAATATATTTATGATTTTTATTTTTAATTATATTTATAATTCTTTATTCAGAATATCTGAATTCTATAGCACTGTATAAATCTTTAACTTTTTAAAAGTACTACAGTAGAGAAATTTGTAAACATGTGCATTGTTAAAATTTTTACCTTGATGTAACCCTGATTTCCCAGTAAAGTTAGACAGTGAAGTTTATATATGCGAAGATAAAGGTATGCAGGCAAAATTTAATCATAGATATAATTTTTATTGTGTGTTTCATATCTTAAATATTTATTTTTAGATCTAACCACATAAATTTTATCTTTTAGACTTCTGTATTTAAAGTTTCCTTTTTTTATGCTATAAAATTTTTTATTTAATACAATTAATAAAAATTAATAAAATTTTAATTTGTTTTTCCTCCACTGATCTGTGGATCTAGAAATAATTTATTTATCAAACAGATTTATTTGCTATATTAATTATAAGAAAAATACTAGACTCCTAACACAGATGAGTTAAATATCTATTTATTTAGTTCTGTTTTTGTCATCACTCATAAAAATGATAAAAATTACATTTTATTTTATCAAAATGTATTTTGTACAATATCAACATTAGGAAGTATTTTGCGGTAGTTTTATTTTAGTATAAAATATCATCACTTACAATCTCTAGTGATAGAGAACAGAATTGTTTTTCTCAAAGCATAGTGTAGTACAAAGTCTGAGATCTGGAACTGCTAGAATTTCATCGATTTTAGATTTAAGATCATCAGTTTAAATCTATTAAAATGCCATGCAGACATAGTAACATTGAGGCTTCCCTTGTTGTTTAGATGAGAGAGAAAAATCCTAATTCCACACAGGGCAGGTATAATCTGTGTGATCACATTGGGTGTCAGAATTTGGGGGCATCGAAAATTTCAGAACTTAACGGAGCACCAAGGAGGAAAAATTAGGAATGCAAATTGGAAGAAGAAAATTTAATGTGAGACGTCTGTTTGCTTTTTAACTATATTTTCATAGTTAATTGTTAAATTATGTGGGGATTAATTTTTTGTTACTAACTTTGTTTTCAAATATACAATAAGATTTGACTAGCTAAGAAAAGTTAGTTCTTGTTGTTCTAACTAATCATATAACTTATTTTATTTTTCTTTTAAAATGAAACAATTCAGGAATGAAAAGCAATTTTTATTTTGATGTACAATGATTTTTTTACTAATTCTAAAATTAGCTGTAAATAAAAATTTTATATTTTTGTTTGATAGATGTAAGGTATTCATAAAATATTAGGGAAAATAAATTTTAAATATAGAGAGTATCACCCAAAGAAATACAGTAGACCCTTAGTACCTCAATTTTTGTTAAATCAAAATTGTTAACGACTACAAATTCATATGCTAACACAGTTCATTTTGTTCAATCTGTCTCACGTTATTGAGTTGGATTGTAGTTCCTATATGATTAATGAGCTGTGAAAGTTTCTGGAAGATGGATTCGTTGAAACTGTCCAGTTGGCGACAGCACCATTCAAACTGATTTGTTGACTCATTGGTAGGAGATTGCAAACAAGACCAAACACAAGTTTGATAACCTGGTAAAAATTATTGGAATTTGAATGAAAAGTGTTGCCATGTATATCATGCTAGCCTGATCTTGTTCCCTCAGATTTTCACTTGTTTCACTCTCTTCAATATTTCTTTCATAGTAATAACATTCAATTCTAATAAAGGCCATAAATCAGCACCTTGTTCAGCTTCTCACTGATAAAGCTAGGTTCTTTTATGAATGTGTAAGAACAAAGCTTATTAAAAGAAAAGGTTATCAAACGAAATGGACAGTATACCATCAACTAATTAGTTGTTCTTTATACAAATAAAGAACCTTTGAACAACATAGAAAAAAAAATCATTACTTTTCAGACCCTCTAGTATTACATAAAAGCTAAAGCATATTATTATTTGATTAGTTTTATGAAATAAATTATTAATAATATTCACAGTAAAAATAGTAGTGTCACAATAAAGTTACTTCCTTCCTGTGTAGAAATCTGTAAGCAAAGAATTGTCGTATAATCAAAGAAATGGATTTATTTGCATTTATCAAAGATAACTTTGCCTTTATTTAGCATAGTTTTTATACTTTTATGACTTTTTTCTTCATGTGATAAATATCTGCTTGTTAATTTTAGTTTTAAAATGAAAATTATTTCATAGTTTGGATGTTGTTGCAAGATAGATTGTTTGTTGAAATCCAGTTTATTATTTTCCGTAACTTATAAAATCTTTAAAATTACGTAAAATGGCAACCTTCGATTTTCAATAAAACTCTGAAAATTTGGAGAGCAATCAGATCCCTCATCTTCAGGAGGCAAAAAATTTAGCAAAATCTTATGTGTGCAGTTTTCTGTATTCAACTAATCAGTAGTGTAATTTGTATTGGATTCTTTAATCAGAAAATGCATTGAAATATTAAACTTTCAAAAAATAATATATTAAATTGTGGTTAATTCAAATAGGTGGATTTATTTATACCAAATTGGTATATTTCCATTTATGCCGTTATTTTTCTAAATATTGAGTTATTCTTAAGCTCTGAGATTCTTTGAAAAGCCCCTGTACCTCTTTTGCATTTCCTAGCTGTGCCAAAAAGTTTAGTCTAGAAATTAATTCTGCATGAAGAATTCCTTCATATGACCTCTTATTTATTATTTAATAAATTTATAAGTTTCTTACATGATTAACAGAAAATTTATGTGTTTCAATTGATGTTAATTTTTTTTTAATTTTATGCATAAAGTAAAAGAGCATTAAGCTTTAAAAATTATAAAAATTTTAAATCTTTTTTTATCTAATTATTTTCCCTCTTAGTGTTAATCAAGTACATTATCTGTGCCATATTTTAAGTACGATTAAATACTTTTTCTTAATTCTAAGTTGTGACAAGAATGTACTTTTGGTAAATAAAATTAGCGTGTGTATGGTTTTCATTATATGGATAAAACAAATGGCATCAGTGTATATTTTCTATATCATATATTTTGCTTATTATGTTTGTAATATGTGATTTTGTAATATCTGATATTTAAAAATAATTCCTTTGAATTTTTATTTTCTGTTGTATAAATTCAACTTCCTTAATGCTTTCTGCCGTCTAGTTTTGGAAAAACTTATAATAAATGCCAGATTCTGAAGCTTTTTTATAAATTAACATTAATTAAAAGTGTATAGGGAATTCAACAATAAAAATTTTGCATCAACATATTCAGATTTGTTTCGATGATATTTTATACTAGTATTTCTCTGTTAAACTGTAGCATTTTGTCATTCATTCACAAAAATTAAATTCAGTTTTTGCTTGTTTAAAAAATTATTTGATAAAACTATGGGCCAGATTAATATAGAATACATTATTTAAAATAAAAATCAGAAATATATTGGTGATTAGTAGTTGTAGCTTTGAGAAAATTGTTCTTCATTTATACTGTGGGGAATTTATTTTGTAGCCCATTGAATCAAATTTTTAACTTTATATATCTTCAATAGTAAGAGCTTATTGCTTATCATAGTTTATTGTGATACTCTGTTCCTTCTGTTTCAGCAGTAAAATTTACTAGTAAAAAGCATGTAGGAAGGTAGTATAATATCCTAAAAGTGTTCAGTCATTTGTGTAAATATTCTTTTTTGCATTGAGAGGGAAAATTAAATGAACAACTATAAAAACTCATGTAACTTAAATGATTTTGCTGTTGAGAATAGAGAACTTATAAGATCTGTATATTGTCAAGGCGAACAAATATTCAAAATGCAGAATTGCCTAGTTCTGCAAAAATTAATTAAAATAAGAATATAGGAAATATGATATGAAGTAGATCAGAAAAAGTTGATGTGGCAAATATGTGTTTT